TTCAGTGTTCTCAGAATCTTTGCACTTTTCTGTTCTCTTTATTCCTCAAGTGTTCTTCCTTCCCTCTGCTTTCTTATCATTCAAGTTTGCTCAAATGTAACTTCCTCAGAGAGACTTTCTCTAGGGACCCTAGCTAAAATAACTTCTATTCCCATCATTCTCTATTCCATCATGTTGTTTTATTTTCTTTATTGCAGGGATGACTATATGATGTAAAATTTTCTTATTCATTTTTCATTTTTACCTTCTAGAATGTAAGTTCCATGAGAGCAGGGACTTTGTGTTGTTTACTACTATTTCTTTAGCACCTGGCTAAAATGTCAGTAAATACTTTTAAATGAATGATTGAAGATTATGAAGCTACTATATTGTGAATTCTCATTTGGCATTAGTTACTGAAGTGTATACTTAGAAACTTATCTTGAATGATATATTCTGGTAAATGAAATTTGCTAACTAAAATCCCTGGCCTGGTATACTGCCATTTTAAAAACAGTGACTCTAACCATTTTGGGGTTACATACCCCTTTGAGAATCTGTTGAAAGTTACTGATTTTCTCCCTAGAAAAAAAAGCACATACTTTTTCTATATACATTCAGAATTTGAGTATCAGTTCAGAGAATTCACAGAACCCAGAAACCCCCCTTTTGAAGAAAGGGAGAGAACTAATTATTTCAAAATTCTTAAAATTTGTGTCTTTGTAACTTCCATTTCTGCCCATTGGAGTATGTGAAACATGCACAGCCCCTTTTCCACATGACAGCCATTAAGATAGTCTTTTAGCAAATATTCATGACATACCCTTTCACATAGAATATGCACAGTGTGCAGATACTGTGGATTCCAAGAAAAAAAATGAGCCAAATTTACCTAAGGGACCTACAGCTTAGTTGAGGAAAACAGACAAATAAGTGCAAAAAGGTGTCGTTTGTAAGTACTCAGGCCCTTGCAGGGAAAGGTGTAGACTCATAGTAAGAATGGTCAGTTTTATTTGGGGCAAGAAAAGTGTCATAGAGGAGGAGAGTATGGTTTTTTTTTCCTAACAGCTTTTTTGAGATATAATGCACATCGCATACAGTTCACCCATTTAAAGCATAAAATTCAGTGGTTTTCAGTATATTTACAGTTGTGCAACCATCACCACAATCAATTTTAGAACATTTTATCATCCCCCTCCAAAAAAAGCATACTCTTTAGCCATCACCCTCCAAGAGCTCCCTAGGCAACCACTAATCTACTTTCTGCCTCTGTCGATTTTCCTATAGTGAGCATTTCACAGAAATAGAATAATACAGTATGTGACCGTTGATGACTGGCTTCTTTCACTTAGTATGTTTTCATGGTTCATCCATGTTGTAGCATGTATCAGTACTTCATTCCTTTTTATAGCTGAATAATATTCCATTGTATGGATATAACACATTTATCTACTCATCAGTTGATGGACATTCTTTTTTTTATATTTTTGATTATTATGAATAATGCTGCTATTAACTTTTTTTGTTTAGACATGCTTTCATTTCTCTTGAGTATATACATTTGGGAAATGTGAGCATTCTAGTGTGGCTGGAACTAATAGCGGAATGTCAGGGTCATATGATTGATTACTCTATATTTAACCTTTTGAGGAACTGCTTTTCCAAAGCAGCTGCACCATTTTACACTCCCACCAGCAGTGTATGAAGATTTTAATTTGTCCACATCTTGCCTATACTTGTTATTGTTTGCCTTTTTTATTATAGCTACCCTAGTGGTTTTATTTGCATTTCGCTGATGACTAATAACATTGAGCGTCTTCATGTGTTCAGTGGCTCTTTGTATATCTTTGGAGAAATGTCTATTCAGATCTTTTGCCCATTTTTAAATTGGGTTACTTTTTGTTGTTTTGCTCTTTATGTATTTTAGGTACAAATCCATTATCAGAATATGATTTGTAAATATTTTCTCCCATTCAGGGGATTGTCTTCATTTTCTCGAAGGTGTCCTTTTAAGGGAAAAAGTTTTTAATTTTGATGAAATCCAGTTTTTCTTTTATTGCATCTGCTTTTGGTGTCATATCTAAAAAGTCATTGCCAAATCTGAGGTCATGAATATTTATACTTGTTTTCAAGTTTTATAGTATTCATACTTACATTTAAGTCTTTAATTCATCTTGAGTTAATTTTTTGAAAAGACTATTCTTTTTACATTGTTGAAAAGACTATTCTTTTTACATTGAATTGTTTTGATACCCTTGTTGAAATTCAATTGAGTATAAGTGTGAGAGTTTATTTTTGGACCTTCAGTTCTGTTCCATTGATGCAAACACATACGTGTGTGTGTGTGTGTGATGCATTCTAGTACCACAGTCTTGATTATTGTAACTTTGTACTACATTTTGATATTATGAAGTGTGAATCTTCCAACTTTGTTCTTTTTCAAGATTGATTTCTGAGTTTTATGACCTAGAATTTCCATGTAAATTTTAGAATCAGCTTGTTAGTTCTGCAAAAACCAGCTGGGATTTTGATAGATTGTGCTGAATCTGTAGGTCAATTTGGGGAGTATTGTCATCTTAACAACACTAAGTCTTTCAGTCTGTGAACACAGTATTTCTTTTTTATTTAGGTCTTTAATTGGTTTCAAAGAAGTTTATGGTTTTTAGTTGACCATTCTTATTTTGTTAAATATACCTCTAAGTATTTTATTATTTTTGATATTATAAATTGAATATTTTATTTTCAAATTGTTCATTGCTAGTGTATAGAAATACAATTAATTTTGTGTATTAATATTGTATCCTGCAACTTTGCTGAATTGTTTATTAGCTCTGATATACTATCATGTCATCTTCAGGTATAGTTTTACTTCTTTCTTTCCAATCTGCATGTCTTTTATTTCTTTTTCTTGCCTAACTGCCCAGACTATAACCTTTAGTACAGTGTTGAATAGAATTAGTGAGAGTGAGCATCCTTGTCTTTTTCCTGATCTTAAGAAGAAAGCTTTCATACCATTAAGTATGATGTTAACTGGGTTTTTTTGTAGACGCCATTTATTAGATTGAGGAAGTTTCCTTCTATGCCTAGTTTGTTGAGTGCTTTTATGATGAAGGGATATTGAATTATGTGAAATGCTTTTTTCTGTGTGTACTGGGATGATCATGGGGTTTTTGTCCTTCATTTTAGTCATATAATATATAATTGATTTTTGGTCATTAAACCAGCCTTGCATTCCTTGGTTAAATTGAGGTGGTAACTCTTAACGCATTTTTTTTTTCTTAAAGCATTTTTAATCAGCCTCATTAAGAAGGACATTCCAAGCAGAGGGAACACAGAGGGGAAAAAAACCCACAGCTTTGAAATAGCTTTAGAATTGTTAAGTGTTGAGACCAGAGAAATTGGCAAGGGCCAAACTAAAGATTTTTTCTGCCATATTTAAGGGGTTTAGATTTTATTCTAAAGGTAGAGGAGACTATTGTAAGTTTGTAAATAGAATAGAGAAGTCCAATCTGGTTTTA